TACATAATAATTTTACTATGCTTAATTTAATAAAACAGCAAATTCATAGAATAAATTTTTTATAATTTGGAAAAAAAAAATGAAAATTTCTGTTGTTTATCAAGGTACAGTGAACATAAGCAAAAAACAAAAATATATTTAATAAAATAGACCCTGTGTATGTATGTATGTAAATATTTTAGTTCACACAATTAAACTCTACTCTATATTCACTATAGAGTTTGCATGCATTCGACTTTTTGCTACTTGATTTTAAATAATCTTTGAATGTCATGATCAATTAACTTCATTTTTCTCTTTTAATTTTTTTCTTTTTCTTAAATTTTCGTTAGCTATTGAAATGAAATTAACCTCATCATCTTTTGTTGGGTATTCATTAGCTATTACATACATATATATATATATAAAAAAAATTTTTGTATCTAGGTAGATACATAACGTAAAAAATTGAAATTGTGAATGAACGAAGAAAAAAATTTGTTTTTTTCTTAATAAACGCCTGACTTAATTGTAGAGAAAAATAAATAAAAAAATTACTGTACGTCATCATAATTTAAGTAGTTTAAAAAAGAAGAGAGAAAAAAAATGATCCCGAAAGCTCTTATTTTGTATGATTGAACACACTATACTTTGTAAATATAGTTATGGAACATGTCTTAAACAGATTGACCTGGAAATTTTACATTATTTACTCAAAATGAACAAAAACGCATATTTTAATTTAAAATAAATTTTTTTTTATAAAAACTAAATTCCATGCAATTAATTAAATTTCTATAATTTAGTTTACGTTCCTTTTTTTTGTTCCTCCTCTTTTTTCCTTAGTAAAATTTTTAAAATAAACATTTCTTTTGTTACAAAAATGTTATGAAAATGTTAATGTCAAATTAAATAAACATGCCCATTAAAAATAGTACCCTAAAGCTGTAGTAATTATGAGATTACTCATTACTCTCTTCGTAAGTATTCCATAAATACCTACAATAAATTGGGCATAGGTTTGGACATCAAATAGAAAGTTTGATTACACAATAATTTTTTTTCATTTTACACTAGTACTTTTTTTTTTAAAAATACCAGCAATTTTTACTTTCAAAAGTGTTACATAGCCTTAATACAATTATAACACAAGCAATTAGAGTAAAATTAAGTACATTTTTAAGAGTGGGGTTAAACTCTAATTTTGTGTCATTAGGAGCATAAATGTTAATTCGACTGCAGAACAGACGAGTTACGTCAAAGGAACGAGCTATAGCAAAAAAATTTAAAAATTTTTCTTCTCGAACTGGACTCGAACCAGTAACCTACCGCTTTCTACGTGGACTGCTTTAAATTTCGTTGTTTTAAAAGTAAGAATCGTAATTATTGTGTATGTAGTTATAATAAACATAAGGGGTGTGTCGGAACAATAATATATATAGAGAGAACAATTATAAATCAATGAAATTTTTAACTATTTACAATAGAAATTATAATAATCAATTTGAAATGCAAGAAAAAATAGAAAAATTGAAAATAACAATAACTATTAATTATTATTAATTATATTAATTAATTCAATATATAAGTAATAAAGTAAGATTAATTAAAATTAAATTTCTAATTACAATTGAATTACAGAACATATTCAATTAATGTAAAAATAATAGTTGCATGCAATCTATTATAATTTTTATTATAAATGTTATATTTTTTAATTGAAAAGATATTGTTAATAAATATTTAATTATAAAATGCAAAAATTAATTCAGCGTTTAATTCAATTAATCCTAAATCCCACCGTTTCATTAAATTGAAAATAGAGATTTAACTTCATTACACATACTTAGCTACATGGAATTACCACGATGTTGAAGTTGAAATCTGTAATAATTTTTAATTTATATAAACACAATATATAAATTTCCATGCTAAATCTATTTTTGAAATTATAATCTTATTCACTTTGTTCTTATTATTCATATTACATACTCATTTAATAGAGACAAAGAATATAAATGAGATTTTCGTATTTCTCAAGTGTTATACAAACTTGTTAATAGAATATACTTATATTTTACATTTAATATAATTTTGTTATATTCGTTAATAACGAATTCGTATCTAAGAAACTTATGTAAGCTTAACACTCATTATTTTTAACAACTAATAATGTATAAATAACATGACATGATAACTGATAATAAATTTACCAGAAAAAGGAAATAACCAACTAGAAACAATAATTTTTCATTTTATCGAAATTTCAAGTTCAAATACATTCAAATTTAATAGAGATATTTAAATGTTAATTTTCTGCATTTGTGGCTATTGAAAACAATTTTGAGAAATTTTGTATAAATTTTCATTATAACATGCTAAATTTTAATTAAATTTTAAAATTTCATTCCATTCATTATTTAAAAAATTTAATTATCTTATGTGTACATAGTCAGTTTTAATTGTATAATGGCATAAGTTAGTTATGTAATTTATGTTTGTACTATCTCACACCATGAAAATAACACTTACACATATTTGAAACTTGTGAATTAATTCTTTATCATAAAAGATTTACTCACTGTATGCATATTAATTAATAAAATAGTTCCTAATCTTAACACATGTAAATGTAAAAAATTATGATATCAAATTTTGTGATCGTTTACAACATTTATTACAGAAAATTTAATTAAATAACAAAAATTAAAACAAATGAAAACTGACACTGATATTTCTATGCTGTTGTATAAAATGAAATGTCAAATTACTTTCTTTGTTAGCAGTTTTGATAATGACATTTAATTAGAAAATTGCATTACCATTTTAAATAAATTGAAATGCAAAAAAAACCCCGAAAAAAAACACTTGTTGTTCAAATAAATGACATCTTAATGAATAATGAAATTAAAACGCAAAAAGAATCTCTCAAATTACTCTCTTCATTTGTCAAATTATATAGTGGCTTCCCGTAATGACTTTTAATATTCGTTTGAAACAAGGCTTGTCATTAGCAAAAATCTATTTTTAAGATAAAAAAAAATTTAAGTATGCACACATACAAACGTAATTACATGTGTACATGTAATAATTTGTATAATTTCCTGTTTGATTACATTTTGCAACAATATTCATTTAGGGGTGCGACATATATATTCAATCATTTTATTAACAAATTTATTTTATATACTTATTACGCTTTTTTTTAAATATATATGTAAGTGATTATGACTCATGAATAATTTTTCATTATTATTAATATATTTTAATTTTGTTTTTGTTTTATATTTTCAGACGGCTTGTGAAAAATTATCAACCCAAAAAGAAAGAGGAAGAAGATTATGAGTAAGTTTAATATTTCTTTATTTAAATTTTCTATGTGTTGAATTTTGTTATTTTTCTTGGGAAATTTCGATACATAATACTGTTTTAATTTATAAATATTCGTGTATGTACATTAAATATTTGGAAAAACCAATAAATTAGGATTTTTTGACAATTTCTTTCATTAAACTAATAGACGCTTGTATTAATAACTAACTGAAATTTTTTCTGTTTCATAAATTACCATATTTATTTTATAAATATTTTCTCATTCTTTCTATCATTTTAAATAATTTTGGAAATTTTGAGTAAATAATCGAATTAATCAAAATTATCGATTACAAGTACAGTATTACCATATGGGTATTTGAATTGTTAAATCAAAAGTTATTCACAAACATAATTTAAATTTTGGTGCGTTTAAACCTCATTGAATTGAGTTCTTTCATAAATTCATAAAAGAATTCAATATTTTATTCAAAAAAAACAAAATACAATATAAAATATTAAAAATATTTCCAAATAAATCAAATTCTCTTAAGTTCTCCATTTATTTTTTTTTCTCAATTTCAATTGAATTGATAAATGAATGAATGGACAGAAAGTCAACATAATAACAATAATTTTTATACCATAAATAGAATTTTACACTTGACATACTTGATATTTTATATAAAAGTTAGAAAATCTATTATAAATTACATTTGTCTGTAACCACATTTTACAAAAAGAATATTTTATTATTCATACAAAATGAACGTGTCAAAGCAATTTAATAATTTAAAATTGAGTTTGGAGGGGGAAAACAAAATTAAATTGAATTATTGTAAAAATTTTTTAACACAAAAATATTTTTTTTTTGTTTAAATTCACATTATTCCGTACAAGAGATCAATATTAATAGTTTTCATTGAAAACTTATTGAATTTAATGAAAAAATTAATAATTTTCTGTCATTATTAATTAATATTATTTTAAAATTAATTTGTTAACACTTCGATTAAATGTGGTTTTTTGTTAACAATTTTGTTTTGAGTTACATATTATGTCGTTGATATTCAACACAGAAGACAACTTTTGTAATTACTCAATAGAATTACTTTTTCTGAGGGACCTTAGTGAGTATAAACGGCCCCTTACATATAAGTTAAATGGTTATATCCACAAATATCTACTGTTTATATTTGAAAAGCCGACCATAATTTAAAGAAAAATTATAGAGCTTCCCCTCAGATTCTCAGAATAATTTAACTAATATGTAAATAACGCTTAACACAACTGAATTTCAAATTTATTTAAAAACTAAAGAATAATTTTCAAAATATTTTGACAATATGTGAATTTAATTGTGAATAAGTGAGAGTTATAGAATAAGTCAGAATTAATTTTTATTACCAAATTTTGTTAAAATTAAAAATTTTTTATAAAAATTTTAAAATAAACAAAATTTATAAAAAAAACTTAAATTATACTTTTCTTTTTATAATTGAAAAATTTGTAGCTGCTTTGTCTTATTATTCAAATTTACATACAAATTGAAATTTGATTATTAAGAACTTTTAAATTAATCAACACAAGAACAAAATTTATGACAATTCTTCATTATTAATTTTGATTTGCTTTAATTAATTTCAAAATTTTAAATTTCATAAAATTATTTTTAAAATATTTTAATTTGTTTTTTAGATTTACATCATGGCAGGCATTTCGTAGTGTTTTAAGAGAAACAAGTGATTTAGCTGGCCAAAGAGAAGTTATTGCTGAATCATTACAAGGTCAAATAATACAAGGGATCGCATTATTATCAAAAAATTTAAAAGAAGAAAGAAAAGTAAATTATTTTTAAAATTTAATTTATAAAAATTTTAAAATTTTATTCCTATTCTTTTAATTTTAGAAAAGTTTAACAGAAGGACAAAATTTAATGCAAAATTTATCAGCACAAATAGGATCATTAGAAAGGGCAAAACGTAATTATGAAAAAGCATATCGTGATTCAGAGAAAGCAATTGAAAATTATCAAAAAGCTGATGCTGATTTTAATCTTAGCCGGGCTGAGGTTGAAAAACAAAAACATAATATGACAATGAAAATTCAACAATCAGATGATGCAAAAAATGAATATGCAAATCAATTACAAAAAACAAATAATTTACAACAACAACATTTTGATATATTATTGCCAAATGTATTTAATAGATTACAAGAAATTGATGAGAAAAGAACACGTGGCATGAAAGAATTTATAAAAGGTGCTGCTGATGTTGAATCATCTGTTGCACCAATTATAGCTAGATGTTTAGAAGGTATTGTTAAAGCAGCTGAATCAATAAATGAAAAAGAAGATTCAGCGAAAGTAATAGAAAGGTAATTTTTTTAAAATTTTTGAATTTCATTAAAAAAACTTAAAGTGAATTTTTTAAAATATTAACTGAAATTTAATTTTTAGATATCAGTCAGGTTTTACACCACCAAATGATATACCATTTGAAGATTTGTCTAAATCCGATCCAGACACATCAAATAATCATCATTATAGTAATATTCCAATGAATCATTTAACAGTTAAGGGTACAATGGGTGCTAATAAATTGAAAAAACGTGTAGGAATTTTTGGAATTTTCAGCAGTAATAAGGTAAGATTAATTAAAAATTATAAAAATATAAGAACGTTTATAAAATTTTTATATATATATACAATGTAAAATATTTAAATATTATATAAATGTATATTTTTTAATTTAAAAATAAAAATATTAATAAATGTAATTATTATATTATAAAAAAAAAATATAATATAGGTGAAAGTTAGAATCAACAAATCTCCCAAATTATAATCTTTAAATAATTTGTTTATTAAATTAATTTTTCTTGTTTTATGTTTAATAAAATTATTAAATTTATATATTTAATTTTACATACGATATACTCTTGTAATTTTCTACTCTTTTCAATTATAAATTTATTAATTAATAAAAGACTTTTATTTTCAAAAATATTTATTTGAGATTAGAAATAGGTTTTTAGTTCAAATCTAATATGAAAAAAAATATCAAATTATCATGGTACTTCATTAGATTTGAAAAAAAATTTTGTTATATTTTTTTTTTATTAAATTAATTTTAAGTATTTAATATTCCTTTTAGATATTTTAATTAAATGTTAACATAGGATTTTAATTAAATGTTTTTATATAGGAATGGTTTATTGTTATAGATGAAATTCAAATCATTTTTTTTCAATGTATAGGGTTAGTAATTTATTTTATAGTTATAGTTATTGCCTATAGTAATTTTCAAATAATCACTTACTAAAAAAACATATTAACTTAAATTGTTTATTATTCAATGTTTAAATATATATACGAAATTTCTTTCTTCTTTTCTAAAATTGAAAATGCACATTATGTGTACATTACCTACATACATATTTTAAATAAAAACATTTCATACATAATATTTTGTATTATAGGTTAGGGTCTAATATTCATTTTTAACAATTTTCTAGAATAACATTGTTTTTCTTAACTATATTTCTATTCAAATTGATTGTAATTGAAAAAATAATGGAATATTAATATGTTTATGCCATATGCAGTTTAGTTTATACATATATATATATATACATATTCATGCGCGTCCAGAAATCATTGCAAGCACATTGCAAAATCAATCGTTTTCCTTGGTTTATATAAGGTTTTCCTTATAAACAAGTTCGGTTAATAAATACAAATTTTGCATTTAGGCTAGTTTTAAAATTTAAAAAGATATACATATGAATTTGAAGACACATTATGTTATATAAAAAATATTTTCTTAAACTTATTGAAGCCGAAGATGCTTGAAAATTAAGACTATAATATAACTTTAAATGCAATTAATTCGTGATATTGATGCTACAACTAGATAGCTCGCAATTATTGGTTTAGAGATATTGACTTTTAAAAATTTAGTAATAACAAATAATTTATCATGAAGATATCTAGTTTTAATAGATCATTCGATTTTATGACGCCTATGTTAATTATTCAAAAATATATAATTTTCGAGTTATCTAGTTGTAGCATTAACCTCACGATTTAGTATTTAAATGTAATTTTTTGATATAAAAAAATTTTGACCTGATATAAAAAAGAGAAAGTACTTTTGAAAAGGTTCTTAGCTATAACCGATGCTTAAATCTACTTGTTTATTTCGTATATGCAAAATTAGCAAAAAAAAAAATTTATTAATAAAATTCATATTGTTTTACTAGAAAAGAATTATTTCTATATATTATACAAGACTAAATTCCTTATATGTATATATGTGTTCGACTTTATAAAAGTATAAACTGAAAAGCCTGGCATCGCATTTCAAAATTCAATTATTTTTCAATTACAATCGGCCAATTCATTGTTAATAACAATCAATTTCAAAAATTAATATATAAAAATATTTGTTAGATAGAATATAAATTCTATATGTACAAGATTAAATTTTATTGTATAAATTATTGTAATTAATTATATATACATTTAATGCTATAGGCATATTATATAATATACTTACATTTAAAATAACAATATAGGGAACATTCTTTTATTTAATTATAGTACATAATATTTACATTTATATATACATATATATATATACTTGTAATTATATGAAATTCTATTTCTATATTATTTATTTATTATATATATATATACATTTTAAAAATAAAAATTTTTTTGGTTAAATAATTGAAAACAAAAAAATAAAATTTTTGTATTATAATTTTTTTTTTTTTTTATGTTTTACAATAAAAATTGGTGATGGTTGTTATTCCTTATTTATGTATTGTTATCTCAAAATAAAAAATTTTAATAAATCAAAAAAAAAAAAAAATTAAAATAAATAAAAATTCCGAATATCAAAACTTCTAATCCTAAAATAAAATAAAAAAAAAATAAATCCAACAATTCATCGTAAGTAAAATCATAAATATTTTTCTCTATCTCAAAAAAAATATAAAAATTAAAAATGTTTTCGTTTTGAAATCTATTTTACTATTATTATTTAATTTTATTAATATTATCGCTAAGCAAATAAATTTAATAACAAAAAAAAAATCTATGTTGTGTAATAAAATTGCCTACAAAAAAAAAAAAAAAATTTAATTTACTCCAAGAAATATGCAATAATAAAATTTATGCATTTTTTGAATTTGAAATTTGTATTATTAAAATCTGCTCTTATGACAAGAATTAATATTTGTTGTTGTTACACTAAAAAAAAAAAATATTAATTTTAAAAGCTTCGAAAATATTTTTAAATTTAATTGCAAATGCTCTTTTTCACGTACATACATTTTTTTTAACTACCATTCTTATACAAAATTCTTCATTATCCAATCAGATTTCATTAAAAACTAAATTTATACATTTTGAAACAAAATTTTTGTTTTTTTTTCTCTCCATTTTATCATTAAACATCATCCAATGTTGTTGTTAATATTATTTTGCGATTTGATTCAATTTTCAATTCTCAATTCACCACAGAATTGTGTTTTGTTTTTTTGGTCTTCATTTTTTTTTTTGATTTAATTCTAGCTTTTCCCATTCATCATATTCATCATCATAAAATCATCATCATAAATTTCTTATATTCTAACCATATAAATGGTGTGTGTTATTCACCTGTTTTGCGTTATTTGTTACCTAAAAATAATAATATAAAAAAAAATTATTTTAGTATAAATTGCACACAAATTGTTCAACATTTAAATCACTTTGATTTTTCACCAATTTTCAATAATATTTTAATATTCACATATTATAATTTATTGTTAATTAAAGAGGAGCACAATAGTTTAAATCGCATAATATCTTCATATTTCTTAATTAACACATTAAATCATTCATTCAATTTGTTTTATTTTTAAAATAAGCATTCGTTTTTTTCGTTGTTTTCATTTTGCCCAAAAAATTTTTCATTCTATAATAAAATTTAATTCTATTCATTGTTATCGTTCTTTATTTTACCATTACAAAATAAGAATTCATATAGCGACAACAATAATAATATTCTTACCGTAAAAATATTATAAATAAATTCCTTATTCAAAGAATAATGAGAGAAAATTTTTAAAATACTACATATTTTTTGTATTAATGTTAATAATGGTCTACTATAATCAATAATTGGCTTTGTCCATTAAAAATTCAAACCTAAATTTGAAAAATTTTAGAATTTAAATTGTAAATTTTTAGAATATTCAAAATTTAGTATTGTTCTTCGCATAGGTATTCGAACTGATTTGTTTTATTTAAAATTATTATAAAAATTATATTTTATAAAAAATTTAATTTAAATTAAAGGAAAATTTTAAAACAAGCAATTCTAAATTTATACCTAAAATTTTATTAATTTCTTATTTTTTTTTTCCTTCTTTACTCCTATAAGGAGCATAGGGCTAGTTCATGATATCTATCATGTCCTAGTTCCTATAGTCATAGAGAGTTAGCTAGACAGGTGACTAGCCTACCGTAAATTAGTAATTTCTAATTTCATATTAGAAAAGCCTTAAAGGATTCTTTTGTAGGATTTTTAAAGTTAAGAAAATTTTTCGATACCCAAAATAAAATCATTTTTTATTCTTTATTACTGTTATTACTATCACTGTTATGAATATTACTGCCAAATTAAAAAAATCAACCAAATAATATTAAAATATAAATTGTTTATATTTTATTTTTTAATTATTAAAAAATATTTTAAATAATAAAAATGAATTATAAAGTAAACAAAATATTTTATTTATAATTTACTATTGGAACGAATTTTCAGTTTTAAACAATTTTATTTATTTTAGTTATGATAAATAAATTTAAAAAGGAATCGCCTTAAACGTTTGACAAATTAATTAATAAATTTATTACCTAAAATTATTTTTATAAATTAAAACCAAAAAAAAAAAAAATTATAGAATTTATTAAATATTACAAAGTAATTGTATAATCTCAAAATTTTTTATTTTTTTATTATCCCTGATTTTATTTCGTTCATCATAAAAAAGCACGTTTTACATATTTTTTAAAATTATTCTTATATTTTTCTGATGCTGCCCCCGCCTCCCATTTTTTCACACCATGTTTTCCTAGCCTGTTCACCCATCATGTTTTTTTGCACTAAGTCTTTGTTATGTATGTACAAGTCCCATATGATTGATGCTTAACACACTACTTAAAATTTAAATAAAATTATTTTAAACTTGCTTTTCGCATTATTTTTAATGTAAATTTTTTTTTACAAAAAAAAAAAAATATAAATAAAAATTAAATTTTTTTTTTATTTGAATTGTTTTCTATTTATGTTTGTTTTTTTATTTTTTAATTCACAATTATTATGAGAAAATAATAACATTAACGAAAAAAAATTTTATTTTCTAATTACTTATCTTTTTTTTCTCTTTTTTGCTTTTTTCATGCTGCATTTATATACATAAAAATATACATAACTAATATATATACATAATTATATACACATTTATATACTAAAATATAAAACAACACTGATAAATAATTAAATATTTATTTTTTTTTCTAATAAACAATGAAAATTTGAACAACTAATTGGCTAAACTACTAAAAAAAAAATAAAAAAAAAAACTGCTTTTCATATATGAATTTGAATGAAAATTTTTAAAATTTTTCAAAAAACAAAAATTTTAACACAAATATAATTATCACATTCATAATAATTCTAAAAATTATTAAAAATAAAAAAAAAAAAATAAAATTTTGTAAAAAAAAAAAATTAATCATCGCAGAAGATTCTTGAAGCCTGCATAACAGTAAAGGTATGCTTCATTTTTTCAGAAACAACAAAAAAAAAAATAAGAAAAATTATTTATTTTTATTTGAACTTTTATAGGCATTTTATTTATTAAATTAAATATAAAAAAAAAACAATATTTTAAAAATTTAATTTAATTATTTTAATTTTATATTTAAAAAAAAAGTTCTTCCACTTGCAATTATAAGCGTTTAAATAAGCTTTTGGCCACAAACAGATTGATGAAAATTAATTTTGTTAAAATTATAGTTAAAATTAGTTTTATTTAAGATTTTTTAATGCGATTTTATATTTTAACTATTTTAATTCAGAGTTTTGACCGAATGGCAATCCTTTTTTGTTTATATTATAAAATATTGATTCGAATTTAGGCTAAATGAAGTTGTGTAGCGTTACTCAACGACGAAGTACCGTTATCGGAAAGAAGAGACGAATTTTATTGTGCATGATTTTTTTTTTTTTAAAAATGCAAATCAAATGAAAAGTATTTTTAATGTCAGTCATGATTAAATTCTATACAGAAGTAAATTTTCGTATTCCTAATTTTTATTAATTTTCGTATTTCAATGTTGTTGTTAGCAATAATATTGTCATCTTAAGTTTCCTTATTCCAAAACTCTTCGTTAGTATAAGAAAAAAATTATTAAACTATTTTTACTTACCAATTTCTTAAGAAGAACCGTACCATTTATGTGTTCTTAGACTGCAGAGCGGCATTGCTAGCGCTTCAGTCGGTCCAGATTACATCCAGGGTGATCTGGAGCTGCCTTACTGCACTTGTGGAATTGGCATCGGTAAACAGAGTAACACTCATTTGGGTGCCTGGCCACAGTGGACATGCGAGCAACGAGGTTGCCGATAAACTGGCGCGGAGGGAATCTGGGGCTGACTTTGTGCAGTCGCTGCCTTTCTATGGTCTGCCTTCCTACGCTGTGGGAACTAGGCTCGTCTGCCTGATCGTGGCGGAATACGGCCTTCACTGGCGGTACACAAAAGGGTGCCGTCAGGCGAAGATGTTTCTTCCAACATGCTCGAGGAAGTTCGCCGCAGTGCTGTTGGAGATGAACAGGAGCCGGGTTCGCGCTATTGCTAATTTTTTTACGAGCCATTGTCCGGTTAGATATCACCTGCATAGGCTGGGGAAATCGAGCTCGGCCTCTGCAGATTTTACGGGGGTGGTGATGAAACTGCCGTGCGCATACTTTGCGACTGTTCGGTGGCGCAACTGTTTTGGACAGGGCTTCTTAAGTGTTCCGGAAGTTCTGTCCAACTCCCTTAGCAATGTCTCCGTTTTTATACTTGGAACAGGGATATTGTAGGAGGATTGTGGGGAGGCTACAATAAGTCGCGAATGGCTGCGGTGGTTCGGGGGATACTCCTGCTCCACTCGGTTCCCTTGAAAAAATCTGCAATCTACTTACCAATTTTATTTAAAATTACTAATTTTCTTCGTCATTCATTTTGTCACACATAAAAATCACTTATGCAACAATTACTTTAGAAACGCAAAACAAAAAAACTAAAATAGTAATCAGTTCCGTTGGCAACGTATATGAATTCCAACGCGACACATGACACGTAAGTCATGTCGCGTTGGAATTCAATCAAAATCATATTCAATCAAAAATATATTTTCTGATTTAAAATTTATAAGAGTGATCTTGTATATAAGACAAATTTCGAATTCTTACTAAGTCGATACAATTTTTTAATTAACACTAACATTATCAAATTATTTTTTTCGTTTTCTGAAGAATTTTTTGAATTTAAAATTAAATTTGATGCAATGAAAATGGTATTTATTTTAAGTTAAAAATACATATTTTTTATATAAATATAAAATTTAAAATTAAATCTAAATCAAATTTTATAAAATTCTAAATTAACTGTAAAATATATTTAATACGTATGAATATAAATAAATAATTACACGTGTGTAATTTATTTCGCATAGGTTATGTTAAGTATTGTAAATTTAATTTCACATTGAAAGTATTAATTTTAATAAAGTTAAAATTTCTTATAAAATTATAATTATTAGAAAAAATTCTAATTTATAAAAGCTTAATTAAATATATAGTAATCTTCATGATATTTTTTAATTTATTAAAACTTTAAAGTTTGGGCCAAAAGCAAACAAATTAAACGTAAAACAAGGGTAGAACAAAAATATCGAGATAAATTATTTTTTATATATTAAAAAGATATTATTTTTGTAATGGAAGTACTTTTTTGAATATAAAATTAAATTTACATAATAAACTAGTTATATTATAATTATATATAAATAACTAGTATAATAAATAAATAAATATAAATAAATAAAAATAAATACAAAAAAGCAGAAATAATATTTAATTTTCTTTGAAATGTTTGTGTGTGTGTGCCGTTTCTTTCTATCTTCTTTAATTGTTTCTCTTTTCCGTAATAAATTTTTAGTTTAAAGAACTTAAAATTTTAGTCTAAATAGTTTTTTTGGTATTTAGAAAAATTGGCTGTAATACATGTTGAGTGACAAATGTAACCAGAAAAATTAATATAAAATTAATATGATTTTTTTTGTTTATAGAAAAGAAAATTGCATGTAAAAAAATAAAAAACATAATCTTTTGTATATTTTTGCATACCATGTACATTATACAAATATATAAATACATATATATATATATTATATATATGTACAAACGTTATAGTATTATTAAAAATAATCTATTTTATGTTAAGTATGTGTTTTATATTATTTATTTTAAATAACTAATCCCTACATAATAAATACGCATTTTCAGTTTTCGAAATTTTAATTATATTTAGTATATTTTTTTTTTATATTTTAAAATATAATTGATATTAATATAATTTTATTTTATAATTTTTAAAACAATAAAATAAAAAATAATTTTTAGAAATTGCATTTATTCAAAATATTTTTTCATATTTTAAAATTCATTTAATTATTATCGTAATAATCTAATTTATTTAAAAGTTCTAAAGATCCATGTTATTTTCAAAATTAAATAAAACGAGAAAAATAATAGAGTTGACCTTGTGAACTCTGTGATACCCGTACGAATTTGTTATCCTATGTGCGAATAACTAATGTGCCATAACTAACTATGGGGCAGACTATGACTTTAAGTTGCCGTATTACCATATTAATTTATGCAGAATTTCAGTACTATGTGTTATTCAAAGTACTGGTTGTGCCAAACTACTACTGATGTTGTATGGCAGCTACCAGAAAGAGCTAAGAAATTTTAGCAAATTTTATCAAGCACATCGGCCCTACTAATATACTCACTTTTGTGGAATCTCAATATCACAGCTTTTATAGTTTCTGAGATATAGTCAAATAACTTTTGAAGTTGTATGGCAGGTACCAGAAGAAGCCAAGTAATTTCAACGACTTTTATGAGACACATTGGCCCTACTAATATATTCGTTTGTGTGAAATTTCAATACCATAGCTTTAATAGTTTCTGAAATATAGTCAAATAACTTTGGAAGTTGTATGGCAGGTACCAGAAGGAGCCAAGTAATTTCAACGACTTTTACCAGACACATCGGCCCTACTAATATATTCACTTGTGTGAAATCTCAATATCACAGCTTTTATATTTTCTGAGATATAGCTAAATAACTTTTGAAGTTGTATGGCAGGTACCAGAAGGAGCCAAGTAATTTCAACGACTTTTACCAGACACATCGGCCTTACTAATATATTCACTTGTGTGAAATCTCAATATCACAGCTTTTATAGTTTTTGAGATATAGCCAAATAAATTTTGAAGTTGTATGGCAGCTACCCGAACCGGTACCCCGATCATGTCCAATTTAAATAGGGTTCTGGCACTTACTACAATAAATCATTTGTGAAAATTTGGTGAACTTAGCTCAATTAGTTTTTGAGTTATCGTTCGGACGGACGGACGGACGGACGGACGGACGGACGGACAGACAAAGCTAAATCAACTCAGAATTTGACGCTGATCAAAAACATACACTTGACTCTATATCTAACACCGTTATTTCTTAGCGTTACAAACGGTAAGGCAAATTTAGTATACCCTTCGAACATACGTTCGTACGGGTATAATGATATCGATAATGTCAAATTCCGCTCGACAATAATTATATCTGATGGTCACCAACGGGCAATCAACAAATCATGTTAGATGCCCGTTTCGTGTTTAAATTTTGCATGCAACTGGTTAAAAACTGCTTTATAAAGAAATTATTTTTCATTAAAATATTTCTAGAACTTAATTTCATTAAAAAAAATTACTAGCCCTCTTCAAAATTTTCCATTTTAGACAAAAAAATAAAATCAGTAGTTGAAATTTTTTTAAAACAAATATGCCAAATTTTAGCAATATGACCAATTGACATTATCAATTACATGACATTTTGTGTTTTGCATTATCGGTTATACTACAAATGTAGACATCTGTTGACAACATTAAAAGTTACAATGCTTTTGCGAACTGTAATATCGATTATGATGCAAAAGAATTCAATGCGCATTTTACATTATCGATTAAACCTTTATTCAATAATTTTATGTGAATTTTGAAGAAAAGTTTTGTAAAAACCAAATCAAGCAGAACTAGAATTAATAATAGAATTAAAATATGACAGAAATATATTAATAAAAATAATTAAAGTATTTACTTGCATTCATAAATAATCTTAAGGTAAAGCTGTAATAAATGCAATTTCTCAAATAAGAAAAAATCAAGTAAATTAAAAAAAAATATCAAATATCTTTAAATAAAAAACTGAATATAAACGTTGATTCCTTTTTACTAACAGCACTCTCTACTTAAAAAACAATAATAAAATAAATCACATTTTGATTTTAAGTTTTTAATTTTTTTTTGTAAAAATAAAATCCAAAACATTTAAAGGACAACTCTCTCTGTTCTTAAATGTTATAAAAAAAAAACAACAGAAAATCTCATTTTATGTAATTTTACTTAATATAATTTTTTTTCTCTTGTCCTTTTTTTTTTCTCCAAAAAAAAAACTCTCAAATATATAATAGAATTCATTATCAACGGATGGATCAAAGGATGATTATAGTGATTTACCACCAAATCAACGTCGTAAAAAATTACAAGCAAAAATTCAAGAATTACAACAAAAAATAACACAAGAAACGGCCGCACGTGATGGTCTCATGAAAATGAAAGTTGTATATGAAGCAAATTCAAGTTTGGGCAATCCAATGACAGTTGAAGGTCAATTAAATGAATCCGAAAATAAATTAGATAAATTAAAATCCGATTTGAAAAAATATCAAGGTTATTTGGAGAAAGCAAATAGTATAATGGTAAATAATAGTCCTCAAGCAAATCGAAATATACAAAATGGTCATAGAGTATCAAGGTAATTAAAAAAAAAAAAAGAAAAATTACTGTCCTACTTTAAAATTTAATAATACTAGCTTATTGTATTTATTTTATATTGGCAAAAAATTATGATTGCCAAACGATCAGTTACAAACAAAACAATATTATTACTTGTTAGATATCTAATATATTCGGATCTAGTCTCCTATTTCAATTCATTCGTAGTCTATTAAAAAGATCAATTAAATTTTAATTTATTATTAGGCGATTCCGGATCTCGGAAATTGTTTAATTTTTAATAATCAATCAATAATTATTAAAGTTAATGAAAATTGTTAACTTTGAAAAGTTGCCATTATCTATACCCACTATTGAAAATCATATGATAAATCACTACACAATTAATTTTTAATTAAATTATTATTAATTAATTACAACAATTAATTTCTCATTTTATTTTAGACATTCCAATGGTAGCGGTGAAAACGATGAAGGAGAAGATCATCCAGATGATGCAGGAAGTCTTAGCAGGTCAGGTTCTGAGGATAATGTGGCGCAAATACAAAACGGGCTTAATATTAATAATAACGGGTACAAAAGAGCCATTTGCGTCGTTTTTAACATTTTTTTTTTTTTTTTCAGTAGAATTCCTCAAATTTAAAGCTCGAATGAATAAATTCCTTATAAAAAATTTTATTTTCGTTATAAATTTTCGATTTTCGTATTTCGTTTATAATATTGTCAATATTGTTTTTGTTAATTTTTTTACGATGAATTTGTAATTCAAAAAAAAAATTCTTTTTTTAATTATCAATAGAAGTTTTAATTCAATTATTTAAAATTGCGGTTTAATAATTGTAATACCTTTTTTCAGTTGTTTTTGTTGTTAATAAAATTCCAAGCTAATCTAACTATGCTTTACTAATAATTTGCTATAATTTTTTAATGTTTAATCGTTTTGTTATCGTTTAATTTAATTTTGTGTGTAGTTTTGCAAAACAATATTGATTTTCGTTTCTTTTTAAATAAACGCATGTAATTAATTGAATACCAAATACTTTGCACCCTAAAATAAAGTTTAAATAATAAATTCAATGAATGTATTAAAATTGACAATTATTAAAAATTTTATTTTGGGGCTATTTATACTTTTTTTTTTAATTTGGAAACAACTAAAAGGAATATTTTCTAATAAAAAAAAAAAAATATAAGCAAAAATTATCCATGTATTTCAAAAATTGAATTCCTTTTAGTTTATAATTCCAAAATTATTTATAAAATATTGAAAAAAAAAATTAAAGTTAATATTTTTTATTATTAATAAAATATTATAGTAGTTCAGCTAGTCCTGAAAGTGGTCTAGGAGCATCACATACATCTTTACCGGGAAGCGGACAAGGTAGTGCGAATGAAAATAATATTGGAGATGATCAATATTATGAACCTGAAGCATTACAACCATTGGGAACATGTAGAGCATTATACGCATTTGAAGGTGAAACTTAAATATTTTTTTATTAATTACAAAACACAAAAAAATTAACTTATAATTCCATTAAATATTTTTTGTAGCCACAAGTGATGGTAGCATTCCAATGTCAGAAGGTGAAGAACTACAAGTGATAGAATTAGATCAAGGTGATGGATGGACGAGAGTACGTCGTTTAAATGGACCCAACGGATGGGAGGAAGGCTTCGTACCAACTAGTTATATAGAGAGCACATTATTTGCATAGAAATAAATATATATATATATATTTTTTTTTTATTAAGATAAAAAATAATTATAAGAATTATATAATGTAATATTTAAAATACTTCAAGAAAAAAAAAATTGTTTCAGGATATTAAAAATATAAGCGAGATAGAGAACGTAAACAAAAAACAAAAGCATAAACAAAATGTTTAGATTCCTTAAATATAATCAAAATTAATTAAAAAAAAAATAAAAACGAATAATGAAAAAAGCAAAAAAAAAATATTACAAAATTAATTACAATAAGGATTTAAATATAAATTTATATTACTTTACATGTTAAATAAATAATATGTATGTGTACGACAGGACATACTTGTATTTACATAAAAGAAAAAGTTATAAAAGAAAAAATGTAAAGTAAATTTTTACTTAAATTACTAAAAAAAAAATTATTCTCAATAACATTTTGAATTCGAAAGAAATTTTTGTTATTAATTTGGTTTCATAATTTTATTGCTTTAAAATTCAATATTTTAAAATTAGAAGCTTTTAATATGCTGGACATTTCAATATCAAAAGAAATTCATTTTCAATAATTGCATTTATTTCATAATTTATTTTCAAAATTAAATAAAAATAAAAAAAAAAGAAATATGTGTGTGTATCCTGAACGAAAATATTATTCTAATCATTTTATATTTTTCATTTTATGCCTTACGTTTTATTATTAAAAGAAGAAAATAGATAAATTACTTAGTAGATAAATGAAGTTGGTATTTTTTGTTTTATATAAAATTACTTTTTTTTTTCTATGTTATTTTTTATCAAAATATATTTTGAAAAATATTCTGATTTCAATATCATAATCTTCTCCTTTATAAATTATTTTAGATTGAATTGAAAATAATATCTGAATGACAAAAATCAAGAATGAACTTAAGCTTGATAAAAGCATAAGGAATAATATTTGTTTTATATGGTAAAAATAAAATTTTTGAATTATGTTATATTCAATTAATCAATATAAATATTAAGTATACAATACTTAAATAAGAATATAATTCCTAATATAACTTGTAAATAAGAAGAACAAGTTTCGATTCAAAAAGTTATTACAAGAAATTTACAAAGCTAATATTAAATTTACTCAAAAACAAAAAAAAAATCGTACTTAAATTGGCAAGATTTCTGTAAAAATTGAAAGCATGTTCGCAAAACAGCTATTGAATAGTTGGTTTAGATAAATCAATTTACAATCGATTAAAAATTAGAAAAAAGTAATGAGCAAAAACAATTTTTATTTAAATTTTAATTACAAATTAAATAAAAATTTAATTTATTAATTTAATAATAATTAATATTATTAATTTATTATTATTAAATTAATTTACTAGTAATTTAATATAAAACTTCTTTAAATGTTACTAACAGATCTATAATTTTCTGAAATGTAGTCATTTGTCTTTTCGATGGTCGATATTCTTGTTCGCCATTTTTTCTGTTGTCCCCAACTTCGATATTTTCTGTTTCGCTACCTCCATTCTCTTGTCTACTGTACCTCGAAAAACGATCCCTATCGTATCTGGATATATCTATATACTGTAATCTAACGCTACTACATTCTATACTGTCATCGCGGTTTTCTAATTACTTTTCACTCCTTCTAGTTATTTTTCCTCCTTAACCATCTCAAGATTGAGGCTCTTACCCTTCAAAGTCCCCCTCCAACATACTCTTTTTCTACAACCTTTAATTACCAGAATCTGACTGGAAGACATTAGCTCCTACAACATAGTTGACTATATTAATTACTTGCTGATCGTCTATCCTCGCTCTAGAATTTTCATATATCATTTGACCGGGGTCAGTCATGATTAATTGTTCATATCGCGGCCTTAAACTAATACCCACGTATAACGGTAGATAGGTAGCGTAACTTTGAATTTTTTAATTTTTTAATTTGTTGCTAAATATTTGTTACAGACCTTATAAATTAATTAAAGTATTCAATAAAATTATATGAAAAAAAAAGTAATTTTTTTTAAAACAAAAAAAAAATAAAGAAAATTACAAAATTTTTAACTACTTCAATAATAATATTTCTTTAGCTTTATAAATAAATAAAATAAAATAAATAAATAAATAAATAAATTTTAAGCTGTGAATTATTAATTTTTTTTTAATGTATTATTATTTTTAATTTTCTTTCTTTATACAATATAAATTATATAAAAAAAAATAAAAAAAAAAAAAACGCATATTTATAAATTAATGTAAAATATAATTCGTAATAATATTAATTAATAACATATAAATATATGAAAAAACAAGGAAAAAATTAAAAACATAATTTTTGTATTGTTACTTTAAAAAAAAAAAAATTTTTTAATGCGCTTCTAAAAATAAATTTAACATTTATAAATTAAAAATTAATCTAACAAAAAAAAAAATCAAATATTTATAATATAAATATTTCATTTAAAAAAGCAAACAAACAAAAAAATCTAAGTAAAAAAAAAATAAAACTAAAAAACGACAAAAAATAAAATTAAATTAAATAATAAAAAAAATATTTATAGTTAGTAATCAAAATAAAATTTAAGGTATATGATATAAAAAATAAATTAATAGAAAATAACAAAATATAAAAGAAAAATAAAAATGTAACAAACTCATGGGTTACTTTAATTTTAAGCTAATATTAAATATTAACTAAATATAGATGTATATTCGAAATTATAATATTCATTATAGCTTATTATAATAAAAAATATTAATATAATAAAAATAAATTTTTTTAACATAATATCTTAAAAATATTTTCGTTTACATTTTTACATAATTTATGCAAATATCATCCATCACAATTATTGGTATGATCATGATCATCGATGGCAGTATGACCAGAGAAAATATTATATAAAATCAAAAAATAAAATATAAAGATCGAAAAATTTTAATTCCATTATTACGATAAAATAAAAATTAAAAGAAAATAAAAGTACGTAAAACAAAAATATAAATGAAAAAAAAAATAAATAAATCAAAAATTTAAAACGAAATCCATTTCTTCACGATTCAATTAAATTAAAATTAATTTGTTTAGTGTAAACGCTTTATTATCCACACATATTGTCAAAGACAAAGTAATAATCATTTGAAATAATGGCATACTATTCAAAATTATTAAAGTTTATAGTAATGCGAGCTCAAATTTTAAAATTGATTTTATTCTTGAAACTATAAAACTTTTGAATAATATTCCATAATTTCGGGTATTTAAATTATCTATAATTTTTTGTTTCTTCTTTCAGTAAAATAAAAAATTTCATTAAAATGAAAAATTAATTGACCATAAGTATTTTATTTAAATAAAATATTATAAATTTATAAATGACCACCCAAATAACAATATGATAATCAGAAACCTTAAAGAAACCTATTAAGTAGGAGACAAAATTGTATTGATATTAATAAAAGAAAATTTTAATATTCGAAAAGCATCACAATTTTTTTTTTGAATTTCGAAATTTTCTAAATTCTATACTAAAAATTTCAATATTTTTAAATAATATCCTATCACATCAAGTGAGTGAATATGGTCATCTAAGTTAGTACGAGCTGACAAATAAATTATGTATAATGCAATTAAAAAATGGAATTAAAATAATAAAAATATAAAAAAGAAAATATATTATGATATTTTATAAAAGTCATTTAATTTACTTTTATAAAAAGAAAAGAAATAAAAACAAAAAATAAATAAATAAAGCTATTATGTATAAATTTTTTTTTTTATTTTGCATCGCTTAAATTTTTAATTTTGATATTATATTCGTTAAAATTGTCAACGTTATATAAATGAAATAAAAAAAAAAATATGTCAACAATATAAATAGAAAATAGTCAATTTTAATTAACTGACCCTATATAATATAATTTCCATAGTTTTATTTTTTAAATTAAAATTTAAATAATATGTAAACATAATTAATTTGTATAACTTTAATAATTATATATTATATGAAAATTATGTTTATTTGTATAGATAGAAATTATATATTTTTTTTTTATTTTAAAATTTTTTTTTTTTAAATATTGCATTACAAAATAATAGAATGTAATTGTAATAATTGCAAAAAAAAAAAGGAGAAAATAATTTTTTAATTTTAAATATTTTTTTTTATTTTTTGCCTTTCTCTAAATTTTTTGGAGATCTTCTGTAATATTCAAACTACAAATATTAAGAAAGAAATTTTTTGTAAATTTTTATTTTTTATGCAATAGCGAAAATCAAAAAGAAATGAATTATTATTTAAAATATAATTCGAATGTGTTTTATTTATTTATTTGATTAATGATTAAGTAAATTTTAAGGAAAACTGGTTTTGACCATGCATTAGTATTTTGTTTTATGAGTTGAATGAAATCTTATAAAAATGCGCGAACAACAAAATTCCAATTTAAATATCTGTGGTTTTTTCCAAGAGCAAAATATTTTATAAATTATGTAAAATTATTTAACATTTCTTGGTCTCTGAAACACCAACAAAAAAAAAACATTTGATTTAATTTACAATTTTCAAGAAAATATTACGCCTAAACCCTTAATATTTCGAGAAAGTGTTTAGAAAAGAACCAGTTTCTTTACTTACTTATATATATATATATCGTTTTGAAAATTAAACAAAATACAAAAAAAAAATCATTTATCGTATTTTTCAGTTATGATCAGAATTAGATTGCCCGAATTATGTGTCTCACCTATTAGTCACCTTTTTTATTCCATTTCAAATAGAAATTCTCGTTTTTTTAACTCGGATATGCCATTCTTCCAATAGGATTGGTAATTTATTTAATAAATTTTCTTATTTTTCTCAAAATATCGGCTGCACTTTTCTGTCGCAACATACCTTCAAAAACAATGATAAACGAATGGTGACTAAATTTAGGATAGATTTTTGGAAAAAAAAAACCAGATAACAAAAAGAATTCTTTTTTCTCACTTAAAAATTATATTATACAAATATATGATAGGCATTCACCTTCTTCTTACTTAGAGGAAATATAGAGATACAGGATACCGCGCTAAAGCAAAATTATCTTCAAATGCGTTTTATCTTTAATAATGCTTTCATGAAGTTTTATTGTTCATCAAAAGCACCACAGTTATACATATAATATAGTTTTTTTTTTTTTTTGCCAACAATCCCAGAGTGTAAAGTTTAAAGTTTTCTAAGTCATGTACATACTAGATTTCTACGAAAATTTTTAAGGGAAATTTAATATTTTTACAATTATATATTGAGCCACTTTTAATCTGTAAATATCTGTAAAAATTTTTAAAGATTGATGCGCCTCGATGATCTAAAATCGTACAAAACTGTTTGAAATTTCAAACTTAAAACTACAAAATAAAACTTTCACTTACCTTATGTTTAATTTAGATAAGAAAACCTAAAATATTTTCAAATATCATGTGTTTTTCAAAGTATTCCCTAAGGCGCTTAGATCTTCTTCTGATTGTTATAGAACATCAATACAGAATTCAAATTAAATCCATTGTAAATAAGAAAATATAGAATATTTAAGATATAAACATAAATTCATTTTTTTTCATAAATTATTTGCATCTTTGATTAACTTACATCCGAAATAATTCTTTAATTATAAATCTGACAAAATTTCTAAGAAATTATAATCTAACATATTCAATTTAAATTGAATTTTTTCAAGTTTAAGAGCTCTTACGAACCATTTTAACTCAATTAAATTGTTTTGATTGAATTTTTCAATATTCAAGAGGAATTTTTCAAATTTTTTGTTAAACTCAAAAATAATTTTACATAAATTTTGATCAAAAAGAATTTTATGATGCTCATTATATACTTTTAAAATTCTTACAAATAAAATTATTAATGAAATTTTAATAAAATAAGACAAATCTGTGTTTTCTAAAATTTTATATAATATAAATAGTAAACTTTTCATGAATTGCTGATATTCTATAATTATTTCTGCCTGAGTTAATCCTCCATGCGAAATTAATCTAAAAAAAAATTAATGATTAATAAATTTATATTTTAAGTAATTTATTATTTTAATGCTTACTTACCTTTTCAAAATTATTTCTAACATAAAAATTATTTCAAGAAAATTTCTTTGAACACAAAGAGAATTTGTTTTTTCAATAATTAAATAAATTAATCTTAGTACATTTTTAGAAATCAAATAAAATTTTAAACAATTTTTTACATTTTCAAAAACAATATTGGTTTCTGTAATTACACACACTAAATATAATATAAGCTGAATAATTTTAATATCGGAAATCAATATTTCATTTAAAATATTTAAAAAATCGTATTTAACTAAATCTTCTGTTAGTTCTAGTTTAATGTCCTTTTGCTTAGGGAATTTTATTACAAAATCAAGTAACAAATTGCATAATTGTTCATTTCTTAAATTGCGATCTTTTATTTTTAATAAAATCTCCAACATATCTCCAAATATTAACAATAATTAAGCTAACGATTAATAATTATGAACAAGTGGTATAAACAGTTTCACCATTTTCCTGTTTTAACGATATTTTAATTTTAAGATGATAATTCCTACTTTTGTTGTTTATTGGGTTGATTGTGTCGTATATTCTTGTTGAACAAGAATTATGCATGACACAATAAACACCTTGATCATGTTTTTTGTACTGGAAAACAGCACTAAGATAAGTCAAAGTCAAATTGACGTTAAATCGCATTTTGGTGAATGTTCTTGTCCAATGCCCATACATAACTACATTGTACGCATAATAAATACAGTATGCTGGAAAAACGACGGTTCTTTATATGCAATGTGATTGAATGAGATCAGGCGAACAAATAATATGAAGGAGTATTCGTTTTTACGTTTCGTTTTTCGACCTATGAAGCCGTAAAGTTGGTCTTTCTGAAAACCGTCTAATTTTTAAATTTCTCTTTACAACTCGATTCTATTGTTCCTTTTATATGAAATGAAGCCTGGTTTTCGTGGGCGTCATGCAACATGATATGTCAAAAATCTTTATATACTACGGTACTGTTTATATACGACAAAATCCAGGATTAAATTTAAGTTCAATGGCAACCGTATATGTAAATACGGTTTGACGTCAAATGATAGAAATTACTCTATTACTTCACACAGCCATATAGTGTGAGTACTTGACTTGAAATCATCTTTTTACTTTTGTTAGCTGCCTTTTTACTTTTGTTAGCTTGAAAGCTCAAAAACGACGTTTAGCTTTTACATTTTAAGTCATTATGTCAAAATGTTTTGATTTACTTGAGTGAAGCCGGCTTCAAGATGCTTGAAGCTATAATATAAACGAAGTATATGCTCATCAGAGTTATTAACAGATTTTTTAAAAGTAAAATTGTGACAATGAATTTTTAGTGGAAATTTAAAGCAGAGATTAGTTCATTTTTATTTTGGGTATAATTTTCAAAGCGAAATCATTAAAATTTGACGTAAAGTCTGAGTTCTATCAGTTACCTTAGGAATAACATGTCTGTCAAGTGAAAACTTCAGATCACAAATATTAAACATATAATCAAGACGATTTTCAAAGCAAAAACAAATTTTTTTTAGGTTTATTTCTTAGAATTATGCATTATCTTGGACATGATAAATCAAATTTTTAATCTTAAAATAAAAAAAAGAAACTTACTACAACACGAACCATTTAGTTTTATGATTTTGCTGAGTGCTAAAGCCAAAATGAAGTATAATTGTCAACAAATTTTCATTGTAGAAAGCGTTGAATGAGGAATTGATCAGTAACCATTGTCGGTCGTAACAATTGCCTGTTGTCTGTTAATATTATTGATAAGATAACAAAAAATATTGGTGGTTCGTTAAAATTGTATACTTAATATTAGATATTTCGGTATATTTGTTGTTGTTGTCAAAATTTTAGAAGTATATGTACAGATCTTAGAATAAAACGTCTCATTTTTTCATCAGATATTTTAAACCATATTTTGCATATTTATTATTGAAGTATTATTTTGTATTTGATTATATCTAAAAAAATTATTCAAAAGACATATTTGCGGTTTGCACTCTTCGGTCAATTTATGGCAAAAGTCACAATAATGAGAAAAAAACTTATTTAATGCGGAAGAACCATATTGTGTTTCTTATTTAAACTTTTTTTTGTGTCTTATGTACATAAGAAAGTTTTTAGCTCATTTCAATTGCACAGAGCTAATATGTCAATGTCAAAAACACTTCAAATACTGAAGGCTTTTATTCTAATTGGCAATTTTTAACAACAAAGTTGATTAAGAACCTCGGAATTTTATTTAAGCTTACAAAAATTCAATTTTGCTTTTAATAAAATTTTGTAAGTAAAAACTTAGTAACTTTTATAGTTTGTTATTCATAATTTGATTTTTAGAGTCAAGATATTTGGTATCAAAATGCTTTTGAGCCGTTCATTGAGTTTATTTCGAGGTTCAGGTCTATTGCCTTATACACGATCTATTCAAACATCAGTGTCTCGTTTGGAAATTTTTAAGGTCCAAAGCCCAGAAGAATTCGAAGAAAAAGTTAAAAAAAGTGATAAAGTTGTTATAGTAGATTTTTTTGCGACGTATGTAATTCTTTTAAAGATTATGTGATTCAGTAAAAATAAAATTTTTGTTATAGCTGGTGTAATCCTTGTAAAATGTTAACTCCTAGAATTGAAACTGTTATTGGTGAAAAAAAAGGTGCTGTAAAATTAGCTAAAGTTGATATTGATGAGCACAGTGATTTAGCATTGGATTATGATGTCGCTTCTGTACCTGTCTTGATGGTTATGAAAAATGGAAAAGTTCAAAATAGACTTGTTGGATTACAGGACACTGATAAAATAAGGGAATGGGTAGACAAAGCAGTTAACACTAAGTAAATTGTAATATTAGATTCTTTTTGTGAAATTTAGCCACTTTCTTAGGTATTTTAAAATTAAATCGAATGATGGATGTTGACGTAATAAATTCTTGACAGGTAAAACTAAAAAACAAAATTGTTATCTGTTGATTTGAAATAAAATATGGAAAGTTTATCAATCAAGTTTAATATATTTTTTTAGATTTCAAATTGTTTTGGTCTTTTATTTTATTTGGCAAAAATAATTTAAACATTTTAAATTGTTCAATTTTTTATAGTTAGTTAATAGCAATTTACAAAATCATAAACAAAAATATTTAGAACACTTCCAAAATTTATTGATTCGAAAATAAAATTTGTACATCAATTTTTTTTTTATTCTTATCTGCTATTGACTTGTAAAATACATTAATTAACGCACTATTACAAAACAAAAAATTTTGGAAATCAAAAGTTAAATCGCGCTATTAACATTAGCAACTTAAAATCTAGATATTCTGTAACATGATCGTTGTCCTAAATCTATTTTAAGTTTTTTATATCCTATAGATATTCATATAAAAATTGACTTAATTATCAACTTTGTCCGTTTGTGCTTTGGACAATTCCAGAGGACAATTTTCTGCATTGTCTGACGTAATTGCTAATTTATTTTCCGAATCGACAGGGACTACAGTTTTTAAATTTAAGCTATCTTCTGCATCACATGTGTAATTGGTGGGTACATTATCTGACAAATCATTTTTGTCGGATAATGAATTATCGGATTCCGATTCACTTTCTTTATTTTTTTCTTCATTGTCATCGGGCAATAAAATTTCATCATTTTTATCACTACTGCCAGTTTCCAGTTCATCTACTTTATCTATACAATTTTCTGCATTATTTTCTTTTATCAGGCCATTTTTTAGCTCATTTGTTACATTTTTTGCTGTTCCAGGTATACGACCTTTAATTTTGAATTTTTCTATATAAACTTCGATTTCAATTTCAGAAAATTTTTTCAACTCTACTGGCTCTTCGCTCTCTTTAATTAAAAAGGCTGTTTTCGAGCTAGTGTTGTAAGCTACTTTCACAGGGGACTTATCATTTGGATAAGTTACTCGAATCTGGTGTCCTGACATTAATAAAATTACTTCCATTGAACGCATGAAAGTTTCAAGTACTGCAGCTTTCATAATAATAGATTTGTTAGATTTTATATAATACATAAAATATAAATTAGAACTATCTTCTCCAGCTAATTTTGCAGTATATTTTTTCTCGTTGCAAATTGCAGCCAATACGTGCAATTCATCTGTACTACGACATGGAGGTTTATCATAATCAAGTGCTGCTGCCAAAACTCTGTCAAAAATCAAAATTTTACTTTAAGCGGAATTCATTTTTTTTCATTTACCTATGTACTAATATGTCTGGATATCTTCGAATGGGGCTAGTAAAGTGGGTATAAATTGGTATTGATAAAGCGTAATGCCAGAATTCTTCTGGTGTTTTGGCGTTTTCGCTACAGAAATATCTAGCACATTAAAATAAATTATTAACTACAAGATCTTCATGATTTCATTTAAATATTAACCTACCTTGCTCTTGTCATTGAATTGGATATTAAGTGATTTAAACAAGCTTCTAAAGTTGGCGGATTATCACTTTTTTCAACTATGTCAGTTAAACTACTGTAAATCAATTTTGAACTACTTATATCCAAATTAAAACCTAATTGTTTTAATTTGGTCTGTACTTTTTGAATAACATTAGGCAGCGGTGGATCATGATTTCGAAGAAAAGCTATTTTAGGATATTTTTTATAAATAAAATCAGCTACTGATCGATTGGCCATTAACATGTATTCCTCGATCAAATAATTAGCCGTTTGTAATGTGGCTTGAAAAAACTCAACTGGTTCTCCGGATTCTCCATCAAGACGAAAATAAAGCTTAGGTCTGTTTATTTTTAAAGCTCCATCTTGAAAACGATTTTTACGCCATATTTCTGCAATTAAATGCAAGATTTTGATTCGTTTTACTATATCTTCTACAGACCAGCCGTTGTGAATTTGAGGAAAATCATCGGTTTCAAATATTTTGTTCGGAAAATCAATTATTTTTTGTGCATGTTCATAAGCAAATTGAGTGCATGAATTTATAATGGTTCTACTCATACGCGTGTTTTTAATTTCACCAGAGGGGGTTACTTCCCAAAAGCATGAAAAGGCAAATTTATCTTCACCTGGCAATAAAGAGCATTTGAAGCACAATGGTTTAGGTAACATATGAAATACTTCATTAACCATATAAACACTTGTTGATCTCAGAGAAACTATTTCATCTAACTCGGTTTTTTCCTTAAGAAAATGTGTGACATCTGATATGTGAACCCCTATTTCATAATTACCATTTGGCATGGTTTTGCAAGACATAGCATCATCTAAATCTCTAGCTGTTAAGGGATCAATGGTGAAAATACACTCAGAACGGAGATCTTCTCTTATTTTAATATCGTCTTCTGTGATGAGCAAAGGCTCGTCAAACATTTTATTAAATTTTTCATCATATGGATCCATTTCTAGTCCATTTTGCAAGAGAATCGCTTTATTCTCAGATTCTAATTCACCACATTTCCCTATAGGGTGCAAAATTTTACCAATACAAATACCGTTCAGCCAGTCTGTTATTTGGGCAACATATAAAACATCACTGATGCTTTGTAGTTCACCCTTTTGAAATGGTTCTGGCCAGTCTGCTTTATAAATTCGAATGTTGGGCATTTTTAAATCTCTAGGAACAAATGTAATAAATTCGCAACTTTTGCGATACGATAAAAAATTTCCAACACATTTACGATTGTGAACTTTTTCAACAATTTTTATAACAAAAGCTTTTGAACTCTTTTCGGGTAATATATCATTTTCCGGTTCAATCAGTAAATCGTTACTATTATTTAATTGTTCCAATTCATCGCATAATTCTGTATTGTCGTTATCATCGCATGTTGTTACATTATCAGTATTGATATTATCTGCATTTACAGAACTTGGACCTGGTTGATTACCTAAAACTTAAAAGAATTTAAAATATGTTGTCATGTGGTGTCAATTTTAAACAAATTTAATAATTTAAACATATTTTAAAAATTGTTAAATAAATTGCATTTTATATTTTGTAAAATATAATTTTATGTGATTACCTTCAGCCTCATTACAAGTATTATTTTGGGTTGTTTTCTCATCTTGTAAGGCTTCAATATTTTCTCTAAGTTTAACTTCGTTCAAATATTTAGTCGCTTGTTTTTCAGAGTCGTCATTACGTACAAATATTTTTACTATGTCACCATGTAAAGCATATTTTCTTCCAACTAGCGATCCTATAAATGCGTCTTTTTTCCCAGATACATTTTTAACAAAGGCTTGCTCATTGTTTTTGCCATTAATTCTAATGTCACTTTCAACAATAACCCCTAAATTTGCTTCCACAAGTTTTTGTGCGTATTTTTCCAATTCTGTTTCAAAGTTTTTAGAATTGAAATAGTTTTTAGTACGTTGAGACTTAGGCCTTTTTGGAAATAAAAATTCTTCCTTTTTATCTTCTGACAAGTAATCTCCTACTATTTCGTTGACATAGTCTTCAAATACTTTCGATTTTTTCTCTCCGATTCGTTTTGATTCCGAATCTAAACGTACTTTCTTTTCTTTGCTTTTATCAAAACCATTTTCTTGATCATTGGACATTAACTTTCGAATTTTTTTTAAATTTTCTGAATTAAGATTTCTACATTGGTTACCTAATTCTAATATTGAATTCATGCGTTTCAATCTAGGATTATATACATATCCCTCGGGACTTGGTACTAATATTTTTCGAATTTTTGCTAAATTGAGCAAATATTCGTGATGTTGTTCCAGAGGAAGAAAAAGTAAATCCAGTATTAATAAAGTTTCGGCATTAATGTACAAACTATCACATTCTTTAGCATAATACGGAATGTGTTCTGCATTGGCTTGAGTTTCTTTTGATTTAGACTTGCTTCCACGTTTGCCACGTGACCCACGTTTTCTTATTTTCGCTGTGTCTTCACTTATATCACTACCCATTTTCTTTCCATTCGTCAAGATACTTTCTTTTGTATTTTGTGATATATTTGAAAACTCTGAATCGGCAGTGGAATAAGTTCCCGATAGAGATCGTTGGCGATTTCCAACAGAGGTACTCTGACTAGTGTAAGACCTTTCTGATATTGATCTGTTCCTACCTGCATTCACAGATGGATATCTTGGAGCTTCACTATTCTTCCTGTTGAATCTTATTATTTTGTTTTTAATTTGTCCAATTTTTTCTTTTATTTCTGTTCTTTCTAAAATTTCCCGTTTCTTAGCCATTGCGCTAGGTGTGTTATGTTCATTTGTGCTGTGTGAATTCAAAGAACTATTCGAAAGAGAAAAGTCTGAATCAATCTTGACTTTAGATATTGGTTTTTTTTCCTTGTTAGCACAAAATCCATTTTTACTATTTATACTCAATGATTCGCTACTTAGGCTCGGAGCAGGGGATTCTGATTTACTTTTGGAAGGTCCATTGTTATCGTTTTTAGAAGCTTCAATTTTTTTACGATACTCGGTGAGTGATGCTTGCAATCGGTTTCCACTAGCCTTCAATTGTTCCTGTAAAATTTTTATTTGGGTTTCTTTGTTCGCGTCAGATGAAAGTGATTCTTTTTCCATTTTTTTTAATTTTCATTTCCCGATTCTAAAACATATAGGAACGTATGTAACACAAAAATATTTCTTTTTGTTTAAAAAAATAACTTAATATAAAGCAAACCTTACATATCATAAACTAAAGAATAAAAAATATTTAAATAAACAATTTTAAAACTTTCCCAAAATAAAGACAAATGCTTGAAAAGTGACGTTGACGAAATAACCAATTAACATTGACATAATACACAGTTAATTAAAGTCAAACACAGTGTTGCCACATGCGGTTATTTCTCGCTGCGTTAGTGCGATTCAACCTTAAGTTCTTTTTAGATTTTCCGTTGCGAGATATTTTTTATTGCGTAGCCAACTTGAAATTTTAAGTTATGCAATTGTGTGATTGCTTAATTGTATTCCATTTTCATAAGTTTATATTCGAGCTCGGAAATGTACAACTGTATTATGGCATGCAATTAAGCACTCAAACAGTTTGTAATTTTTTAAAAACTGTTTACAATTTTTCGTTAACATATTCGAATGGAGTTAATGTCACAGTTTAGTTTAAAACCAATTGCTGTTTTTTCATTCCATATCCAAATTTTAAGCGAAATTAACGTCACCTTTTTGAACCACAAAATGACATTTTCAAAAACCTCCGTACTTAAACGTTGAAGTTGATGCAACTTCCTTAAGGAGAGGAAAAATACTGGGCTGAAAATATAGAAAACGAGATATATTCAAACTTTCATATAAAATATATTCGTCGATATTATTTTGGTGCACGTAAGACGAACTAATGAATTCATCAAAATAAAACTATTCTAATGCTGCTTAAATTAATTAATTTCTGGCATTTTAATTTCAATAACATCAATTTTTTAAATTGTTTATAAATAGAATTCAATTATGTCTGACGAAATTCTGACGACTTGAAATTTTTGGCTTCACCGCGTTTTTTTTTCAATATAAGCTTTTTCCGGGAGTGTTAGGGAGCTTGTTTTCCTTTTAATATTTCTAATTTGTGGGAATTGCAATATACTTGTGGTAGACCTATGGCCTTTCTAAGCTTTACGTAGCGTTATTTTAACAAATTACGACAACAGAAAGTTTAAGAATTTCTGATTTAATATTTGAGATTTAGCGCCAATTCTTTTTCTTTGACAAATGACGTTTATTATTATTTGGTAAAATGCTTTGAATTAATTGGAATTTTTACATTGAATATTGTAATTTTTTTAGAAAAATCTTAAAAATATAATTTATTTTACTTAAAATTAGCAAATCGGTCAACTAAAAAAATAATCACGGTATATTGCAGATAAGGCTTGCGTAAAGTGTTTTATTTTCATCAAGCATTTTAAAGTTTACAGTTTGAAATCAAATACGTACTTTAATTCAATGAATACCATAGTAAATTACTTTGAGAGTCCAACTAAAAATCATGGGGATGTATCTGTAAAAATTTCCGCAGGAAAAGATGAAAATGGAACCTGTAAAAGTAATGGCAAAGTATTGCACATAGATCAAAAAACGAAAAAATCAAAAAACCAGGAAATTGTTAAAAACATGGAAGAGGTTTTGAATTTAGTTAAAAAACAGCATAGAAACAAACATAAAAATAAAGCTGCTGAAAAAAGATCTAAACACCATAAACATCATAAGAGTAATTCTAATGAAAGTGATGAATGTAATAGGAAATTATCGCCATCAGATGCAGAAAAAGAAAAAATTAAAAGAAGCAGAAAGAAGCATAAGGGTGGAAAACCAACTATACAGGATATGTTAAGTCCTACAAAGAAAGGATGTGAAAGTTTTAAGTCCTCCAAATCTGAAGTGATACCGAATGGCAAACATATTAAAATGTCAGAATTAGTAACTAAACCAGTTTCAAGCAGGTGCAGTGCCTTTGCAGATAAAAATGATTTGAGCACTAATTCAATTAATAGTTCAGGAGTAGTTGAAGACAAGAAAACCGTAAATGCATTTGAATTTTTAATGAGCGCCAGAAATAAAAGTATTGGTAGCAATAGTCCAGGAAAAGAATCGCCCGAAATTATTAACGTAGAAGTAATTGAAAAAAGGAACGTAAATTTAAAAAGAAAATTAATGCTTGAAGAATGGGCAGATCGCAGAGGGGGCAAAAAAAGAAAGCTTAAAGAAGCTGCAAGGGAACAGTATATTGAAGAAGAAATGGACAAAAGAGCAATAAGGTAAACTTTTTCAAAACAAGTAATTTACTTGTGTACATATTTATTTTTAAGAATAATTTTAGACTCAAAGAAATGATAGAAAATCAGCCAAAAAAACGTCGTAGTTATAAAAAAATGGTTTCTCAAAAATTGAAACAAAAAGAAACCAATCAAAATGATCAGAATGTACTTAAAATATCAAAACATAAAAAGAATGACGAACAAATTTCTGAAAATAAATCAGAAAAGAAAGAAGAAAATATGAGAAGATCTGTTCGAAATTCAAGAAAACTAGTGGAAATAAATAATGACATTTCTTCAACAGATGATTTTTTAATGAACTTATCCTCGCCAATAAAAGGTAGACAAGATTTGTATGGTTATTTTGGAAAAACAACACCCTCGCCAACTGAAAAAACTCAAGACTTTAAAAAAAAAGAACAGATTTCTAAAATAAAACAAAAATCAAAATTTTTTAATGAAAACTTGCAAAATAATGCGGCTGATAATGAAGTACCAAAGAGAGGTAGAAAAAAGAAAGAAAAATTAAAGAATGAAGTGGATGTTGAGGAACTTCAGGATGAAATATTAACCAGTACCCCGAGAAACAGTGAAAGACCGCGAAGATCTTGCGTTGGGAAGGCCCGATATGATGTCAATGACTATGAGTTAGATTCTAGTTTTGAAAAAAATAAAACGCGAAAGAAAATTATTACAATAAATATAGATGATGATACGAATGATGTGGTTGATGTTGACAGTAGAATATGTATAACGAATGATAACAAAGAAGATTTAATTTCTCCCCAGCCTAAAAAACTAGCTCCATTGTTTGTAAAGGCGGTTCAAAAGACTTATATTGATCCTGAAAGGTTAAAAGCACGTCAAGACTTTCTGATGTCTGGAATACCCGAAAAAATGAGAATAGATATTGCTAAAATGAAACAATTTGAACAAAATTATGAACTATACAATACGGTTTTTCCTAGAATAAGTCATGTACCTTCATGGGTACAAGATGATGATTCAAGTTCTATAAATTTGAACAATTTAAATATTACTTGGAGAATAATTGATGAAGAAGACGACTCTGAACTTTGTTCGTTTGAAAACAAAAAGTCTGATAAATGTATTAGAAATGTTTTACATATTGAAAAGGCATCTTCGTTTCTGGATCCACTTTCAGAATTGAAATCTTTAGAAAATAAACGAATATTAATCAAAGAATGGAAAAATCTGTACGATAAATTTCCCACGTACAAATGCTATAATCAATTAAGAGAAAAATACAGATATTTTAGTGCAATGGATACTGCTATAGATACCCAGGAAATAACAGAATCTTTTATTGTTAGTACTAGACGAAACAGGGAAATCAAATTGGAATCTGATGCAAAAAAGGACTTATGTCTTTTAGATAATATAAAACCACCCACATCTGCGCCAAATGGAGAATTACTATTTTGTGGTATATTAATATAGTTTTACTTCAAAAATCATGGTTTAATTTTTTATTAATTTTCAGATAAATATAAACCACTTGTTTCGGAACAAATATTAGTAAATGTAACACCTGTTTATCAGTTGAAAGAATTTTTATCCAATTGGCAAAATAAAAGTAAAACAGTTCGTTCTGAAGAGCTAGATAGCTCTTTTGATTGTACGAATGACACAAGTAGTAACTCGGATATACCAAATTGCGTTGTTTTGGTAGGACCAACTTCTTGCGGAAAAACAAATGCTGTTTTTGCGTTAGCTAATGAACTGAATTTTAATGTTTTAGAAATAAATGCAGGCATGAAGCGGAGCGGAAAAAAATTGCTTCAAAATTTGCAAGAAGCAACACAGTCTCACCAAATACGCAAAGATTCAAAAAAATCTAATCTTCTTTTGAAAAGATCACTTAGCGGGTTAAAAAAAATCAAAGATGTTTTGTCAAATGAAAATTCCTTAAGTTCTGAACCAGATAGTAGCACAAAAATGTCACTAATTTTGGTTGAGGATGCTGATATTTTATTTGAAAATCACGATCAAGGCTTTGTCGATGCTATTTATCAGTTGGTAGGCATCTCAAAACGTCCAGTAGTTATACTAGCAAATGATAAAAATTGTCAACATTTACAAAGATTGATCAATCAAAATTATATTGAATTTACAAAACCGCATAGTGTCAATATTTCGAAGTTTTTAACAATACTATCTCTAATGGAAAACTGTCCGATTCATTTGGATGACATTGTAAGTCTCTATTATTTCAACAAAATGGATTTGAGAAAAACGATTTTGGAAATGCAATTTTTTATACAAAGCGGAGGCGATAGAAAAGTTCAAGAAGAAATTTGCACAAATAAATCTCCGGTAAAATCCTATTTCGCTTCTCCCAAAAAGGGAATTGTTGAAACTGATAACATGAGCCAGGCCAATAATGGGTATAATACTTGTAAGGAAGAAGATTATATTAAAGAAGATGTTTCTGTCACTGATAAAAGTATTAAAAAGCCATGTGATCCAAATGATTTTTATATCCACAGGCAACTATTTGAATTTTTTACTGCATCACAAAATATTCGCTACAAAATACCATTTCCAATTAATTTTGATTTACTTTGGGTAAATATAAATGAAGTTTATAAATTTTTGTATTCTCATAATGAAGAATCAAACAAATCCGTCGAAAAGAAAAACACAAGTATAGTAAATTGCACTAAAATGGAGAAAATAGTTGATTTTTATGATAGTATATCATTAGCTTCAAATGTTGATGCATATAATGGCGGTTGTGGTTTAGTTAATTCCGTAGAACAAGATATTTCTCACTATTTGGTCGAAAAAAGTATTGATTATTTGATACAAACTGACGAGCTATCTTATAATTTATTTGATGAAAAACCTAAGCCGGTGTAAGTATTTTTATTATGATACATTTTACTAGTAATTAATTTTATGCCGATTAATCAGGAATCTAATACTAATTGTTATTTAATTTTTATAGTGAAAATATACTGTCACATATTTCACCAGGAAATCAACGTAGCAAAAGATCAATAGCACTAGATTTTGAACCTATGTTACGTTCAATATGCCGTAGTGAAAAATCGAAATCAAATCAAAAGCGAGTTGGTACAAGATACTATCATTATTTAAGGAATATTGCATTTAATTTGAATTCGTTTTCATTGCAACTTTTTGATGATGTTTGTCCAATTTTTGTTGATGATCAAGAAAAATTTATTGAATACAAACCAATTGAAAATAATAACAAAGATTGGTTGAATTAAATTGTTCAAAAAGATGTAAGGCCGGTCATAGTATTTTATAAAAGTAAATTTTTGTTGATTATAATTCTATAATAAAAACACATAAATTTTAAAAGTCATTCATTATATTAAAGTAAAATTTCTATTTGAATATACTGTTAAATAAATATTAATTAATGTTAAGTTGTGCAAAATAAAAAAAAAAATTTATGAAAAAGGTATGTTATATTGAAAATTAAAAATTCTTTTATATGTACATAAGTATTGTATGTACAATATTGTATATAAGAAAATTGAGTAGTAATTATTTCCAAATATTTATTGTAATACAGAAAAAGATAACTGAACATAATTAAAAATTTGATTTAACTTTTCTATTCAGTTTATTAGCTATTTAGTTTAGTTAGAATATCATAGATATTCGGAAATCATTTTAATAATTTTATTCAATATTAATTTTAGAGAATTTTTACAGGTTAAACTGCAGGTTTAAGATGTATTCATCAAAATTCAATAAATTAACTATATAAGTATATTCTATGCACTAGACAATTTTCTTTTTATAAATTTCTACCACATAACAGACTATGTTATAAAAGTTTTAGAAATACGTAGCTGGAAAACCCAGTCTGTTGAGTTATTGCACCGGATTATATATTTGTAGTGCTTTGTTTGGCATTGTAAGCGAAAATAGATTTCTAAAAATTTACCTACGTAAATTGAATTGGAAAATTATTTTTTCAACTTTAAATTTAAACAAAAATTTTCTAATTTTTTATAATTAAATTCATATTTATTTAAAATTTATTTGGACAGAAACTTTAATAATTATCCCAGAATAAAAAAGAATTTTGTTTCATGTTAGTATTTCATGATTTTATCATTGTTTCAATATCATGACACAGAAATAGTTTTTAAAATCTCATCATATACATATTCATTTATTTTGTAGAACTTCTAATAAGAAAAAAATTTTAAAGTTTCAATATGATATTTTATTGAAAAATTCCATTAAACTTTTATGTCTTCTGAAATTTTTTTCTTTAAACTAATTCAGAGGCAAGTCAAGTAAAATGTGAGTTCTCTTTCAAATACAATATATGTATATGTATATATAAACATGTTATATTTTTAAATATAAATCAATATAATCTAATAGATAAGTATGTATGTGCACAGGCCACAAATATAATATTAAACAATCAAGTGTTTTATATTTTAAATGGATTTTATTTTGTTCAATATAAAAAGTTCTTAATATTATCGCTGATAGCATTACAATAAAATATGATTTTGATGTAGATAGAACTTTTAATGTATAATTGAAATTCTTTATAAATAAAATTCAAATGTATTATAATATGATTATTATATTTTAAGTTTATAATGTAGGAATGCATTGTTTTAAAATTTTTTTGGGTTCTAAATTTTCTATATTTAAAATGAAATTATTTAGATGATAGGGAATGTAAAATTATTTCTTCAAAATATATGGGCACAAATTATGATTCAAATGGTCTTGAATCATAAAAAATTATGTTGTTTAAAAGTCGAAATTTGTTATAAAAGAGAGACGAATTAAAACGAGGTATTTCTGTACTTGAATTCGAAGGAGATGTTCGACTATAAGTTTTTAATTTTCATTGTCTTTGAATTAAAATAAACTTATTTTTTTTTTTATGAAAATTAGATAATTATTTAGGTAAATAATTATAAACAAATTATTTAACTGAAAAATGCATGAATTTAATAATTATAAAAATGAATTATTTCTTATATTTTATTAGGAAATGAAAAAAAATTTGAGAAATCAAGTTAATTCAAGATTAATATTATTTACATATATTATGGTTAACGTGTTTAACAAACTGATTTAATATCTATAAAATAATTTGAAAATTTGGAAGAAATAAAGAAACAATTTAAATGAAGATTAAGAAATAATGAATGAAAATTAAGAAATAATAAAATGAATGATTTGAGATGTTTTTCTCTGGATTGCAAAATTTAAAGGTAAGTAATAATTTATATTAATTTTGTGTATTTTTATAATAGTTTCGAAAATATTTATAAATTTTTATTTTTATTTAAAAGTAATCTTTATATTTTAAAAGTATTACTGTTTATTTTTACCGTCAAAGATTCAGGTTATGCAATAACCATTTTCATGGTACACAAATAACCTCTACATTCTTCAGTTGCATATCACCTGTTCAATTATCGGTTTTAAGAACTTGAGTAATTACATTTTAATTGCATCAAAAAAAAAAACACTTATTAGTCTAATTGAATGAAAATTTTAATAGTCTAATCTAATTGAATTAATCATTTTAATTTTGATAGCAATAAAACTTTCGAAAATTACATACTCGTATATTGGAAAAAAAAAATTTTTGACAAAATCTAATTCTTGATGGATTTTCGTTCTTATAATTATTGTGTTTAATTATTCTAATTAATCATTCTGATTTAATACATACATTTTATTTTAAACATAAATTAATTTATATAAATTAATATATTATTAAAGGAAATTGTATGATAAAAATATTAACAGTAGTATTTATAGAATTTATTTATGTATAAAAACTATAATGGTTGCATTCCTTACAGTAGGGCGCATACAAGTTTACAATTATGTATTCTATTCTGAGAGATAGTAAATTCTTGAGAGGAACAGTTGTACGCATTTATCTGTACATTTAATAATATATAATATTAATATTTTTTATTCCGGCATTATAGAATTTCCGATAAAGAAATGGAACCGATAGTAATCTGCTTAAGTAAATAAAAGGTATACAAATGCAATAATTTGGTGATAAAAAATAAACAGATATTTATTTTATTTTTAAATTTATAATATTAAATTTAAAGATTTTTTTTTTTTTCTACTAAGTGAAAAAATCTCGAAAGACGAAGAAGGACGGCTCTATCTGCCTTTTTCCTCCGACAGTGGGGGAGCGTGACTCCTACCCTAAAAAATCACCTAAATTCTGAACGGATAAAACTGGTCCTACAGACCAACTATTACTTCCGCGCTAACTTGGTTTTTCCGCGCAGGAATTAAATACCTTCCATAAGGAAATTGGTATTTCGTGTTAAATCGAATGGTCTTGTTCGTTTAAGTCTTTCTGCCATAACGCCATTGTCTAGCAGCCGAGCTGCTTCCATATTTACATGCTGTTCTAGACGAGCCCTATGCTTTATAGCACAACTCCCAATTTTATCCACAACCACAGGAATTCCTAAGTCCCTGTGGATATCACTGTTACGTATATACCATGGCGCATTTACCATTCCCCGTAGAACTTTATTCTGGAAGGTTTGAATTTTGGTAATGTGAGTCTTCTTGGCACAACCCCACAGCTAAATGCCATATCGCCATATTGGTTTAATGATTTGTTTATAAATTAAGATTTTATTATCAATTGTCAAATTGGACTTACGACCTAAATTTAAAGATGATGAAAAATTTTTAATTAGTCAAAATTTTGTTGAGATATATGAGGTTTTCTTTTTTATTTGGTTTATTTTTTGGAAAGAAATTTAAGAAAATGATATTTTTTGTTATAATATTTTTGCTCTCTAGAAAAAATTCTTAACTATTCCCTATCTTACAATAGAAACGCTATAAAGAAATCTTTGTTGTTTGTTGCTATCTATATCTACTACTCGTAAGTTGTGTACAAGTTCAGTGAAGAATATATTATTATAAAGAAATCAACAACAGGGAGGAAACAAACAAATTCAAAGTCTTATTGCTTAATATTTTTATTATCCTTTTTCTTGTTTCTTTCTTACTTTTTTGGAATTTTCTTCTAGGATTCTTACAGATTTTATTTTTCTTTAGTATTATTATTATATTTTTGTTTTTTTGTTATTGTTGTTGTTCTCTTTTTATTATCTTACTAGCTCTATTTTATAAATAGTTTAATTCCTTTTTTAAAACTTTTTTTTTTATAAAAGTTTTTTTTTTTGTTTTTGATTTAATTTTATAGGAGCTCTCCTACATTTTGTATATGTATAACATTAGAATGTGGGGAAAAAAACTTAAGGATAATTTTTTCTCTGTTTTTTTTTTTTTTAATATTGTTTACTAACATTTTCAACAATTTTTACTTTTTTATATACAATTTTTGTTTTTTTTTTTGGTTAATACAATAAAGATGGCTATTTGTTGCTTTCTATATTTCTTTTGTTTCTTTATTATTTTTAAGAAAGTGCAAAAGTTTTTCAATTTTGAAATTATAATCATTTTACCGCATATGCAAGGGAACAAAAATAATAATAAAAATAATAAAAATAATAACAATATAACAGTAATAATAATACTATGTATAAGAAAATGTTTTCTTTCTTTTCATATTTTTTTTTGTGTTTTGTAATAAGGGAATATTATTGTATAAGAGTTTAAATTTTTTTTTTTTTTTTTGAGAATTTCTATATTCTCTACCATATGAGTTGTATTTTATTATTTTTGTTATATAATTGCGGTCTTAAAAATAAAACAAAAGAAAAATAATGTATAGGTACCCATTTAATATTTTTCATTTTTATTTTTTGAGGTTATGTTTTAAGGAAACTGTTATATAGTAAATTGAAATTTTAAAAGTAAAAAAAAATTATTTTTATGTATAATGTAATAATATTTTTATATTTATATAAAAATATTGTATGTATAGGTGCACAAGGCTTTTAAAAATGGGCTAAAATAAAATTATAGGTTTGTATTTCTTGCGAGAGTGGTATAAGATTACTTATTTGTATTTTAGTTCCATAATGTTATACAAGATAAAATTTTTTAAGTTTAGTTTATATTAGAATAAAACTTTTTTTTTTATGTATATTTAATAATCATTATTAAAATGCTTAGTATTTTAAAATAAATATTAAAAAAAAATACAATAAAAATAATAAATTTTTGCGTATTAAAATAATAAACAAGAATAATAGTAGAAAAATTAGAATTATAAAACAATATTGTTTGTTTAAACGTTTTGTTTCCGGTTGGCGACCAGGAGCTATAATTAAAATTTTTCATTTAAAATTTTGTTTTAAAAAGGTAGATGTAAATGGTCTCTTGGCAGCATCAGCCGTTTGCTATTTTATGGACACAAATTTAGCGTTATAAGAAGTTTTTTAAATTAATCATAAAGGCTTATATAGAACTAGTTCATGGAAGTCATT